CAACGCCCTATCACCAGGGTGACGGTTCTGTTCAGGAGAATTTTTTGCGTAGACTATAATATATGTAGAAACAAAAAAATTTCACATTACACATCTTTTTGACAGAACGAAGTCTGTCGGGTCCGCTAGTTGTTAATATTTACACTAGCTGCAATTTGTTCACATTATTTTATTTATTAGTGCATGTTCATTAAATAATGTCAGATAAAGTTTTTTGAAAACTCAACAGTTTTCTGTGGAAATGAACTCATAATTCCGCATTTCCAGAAACACTCAAACGCCATTTTCTCAAAAATTACTAAAAATTGTTTCTTTTTTAGCTTTTTCAATAGTAGCACCATTGACTTTATCTACATTAAAAAAGCAGATGTTTGCAAATTGTTTGCTTTTACTTGATATTTCTCAGGTACCCAACAAGACTTTTTTTCCTGAATACAACTTGTATTATTGTGGAACACAAATTTTATGTACATTTTATTTACATATACAATTTTACGCATTTTGACATGTCCAATTTTGTCATAGTGACTATGAAAGTACCATTGGTTTACCTTGCACTGTGATTTGCATATGCTTTCCACAGCAAAAATAAATTATTCCTGTTAATTACCTGCTATGACTGGTGTCATGATTTCATTATTCATTATCAGATATGAGGTTGGTATTAAAATCTAAAAAGCTGACCAGCAGATGAAGATCTTTTTATCTGCTTTTTAGATTTAATGCCAACATGGTCACTTACTACTTTTTCTCCTGCCCTGCACACTTTTTTAATTCAATAGTAATTCAATAAACTTTTAATTCAATGAGTAATTCAAGACTATTGATTCTTTACTTTAAACTGCTTTAGTGTTCTTTTATTTTATTCCTCAATTTTATTACTTTAATTTTCACATCACTCATTCTGAAACTTCTATTCTATCATGAAGAGATAATTTCTTGAAGTCAGCCAATTATTAATCTAGTCTTACTCCTATAATTGTTTTTACTCTGATCTAACATCCAGTTATTACTGTAAGTTTGCTTAGAGTTTCCTCATTAATGGAATTAAGTCAGTAAATTATTTTATTGAATTACCTATCTACGTTTTATAAGTTACACAACAAGCTAGTTTTCATTTCTACATAGTGTTAATAAAAATGCTTTTTTGGTATTTTCTCTATTACTTGTCACATTGTAGGTTCAGTCTTTTAAATTTTATATTCTAATAACTATGTCACACTGACCTGAAATGATTATGTGAAATGAGATTAATCTGGTAATGAAGCCTATTTTAGTGTATTGAATTCAAATATGCAAACACTTTATTTGTAACATGTCTGTTATGATCTGAAATTACTAATTTTATTGAAAAAATCACTTTATCCATACTTTTAAATACCTGAAGTATTGTAGAACATAATGAAATATATTAATTAAAAATAATTGATCATGATTATTCACATCCATTGATTCATCATAATTAATCACATCCTTATCATTGATCATTCCATTCCAACACCACAAACATTGTTTTGATGATGCAAGGGAATATTAGGTAGATTTGGAACAAGTCTCCTATGTTTCATTATAAAATGTAATTTTTCTTTTTCTGATTGAACCTCAAATATTTTATACAGACAAAAATAAGGCATCATAATGATTTCTTTTTTTCACACCAAACTATTAGAATACCAAATGGTACAGATAGAGGGATACTAGAATGCAATATATAATAACAGTCAAAGAATGTGCATTTCCACAAAAAAAATCTATAAAATTTTAAATATCATTGTAAAATTAATCAAAAGTAATACCAACAAAAGGTTTGCCAATTTGAATTCAAACCACCAAAATTAGATCCAGAAACCTTTTCAATTTGAAGGCTTGTGTTCTTTGGCAGCTGTCTGTAACATGTTATAAATTTTTCAGTCATTGTCAAAAATTTTACCTTATTTGTAGTAATTTTAACAATATCTTGTAGAATATGTTATTAAATATTACACATTTAATGAAATATCAGTTCACTTTATACTTGTGTAGTAATTTAATTTAAGAGCAAAATTTTGATACATTTGTAATTTTATCAGCAAATTTTTATTTTACTCTTTCCCTTAAGACACCATTTTATGGGAGTGCTTTGAAGTATACTGATACGATGAAAAAGATAAATGGTGGATGGTACAAGAGGACTTCAAGTAATTTCATCAAAGAAAAGAAAATCTGTTAAAAATAATTTTTATTTTTGTAGATTGTGTTACATATTTACACTGAGTTTTTTTTCATGAATATGTCCTTTCTTTTTTATTGTTGGCACCAAATGTTGTAAACTGTTCTCATGCTGCATTTTGTCCTGTGATTTGAACACTTGTAGATTCGATAAATTAGTCTTCATGAAAAATCATCATAGCATTTGCATTACAGCAGGAAGAATCATAAATATTGTGAACACAGTTTTCACACTAGCAGATCCACTTTTTACTAAGTAGTATGGGCAAGTTGCTCCAGTTTTCAGATAAAACGTTCCCTCTTCACTGAAAAATGAATGAGAGGCTATGTTAAATGAATATTTTTTTCAATGAATTACGGGACTACAAGGATCAGAGGTTTAAAAATCAACAGATGTTTTTGTACCATTGTATCAGTGTTCAGATACATTCATAACTTCTCGAATGTGTAACAGGATTTAAGAAAAGGTTTGTTTTTGTTTTTGCCACAGATTTTCACTGTGGTTGATTAGCTCAAAAGTTGTGCAGCCTACCAAATTTCTGTGCAGGCAACATCCAGTCACAATCATCTCAACAAATCTCATTTTGTTTTTGAAAACAATTATTTAGAATTGAGAGTGTTATGAAAATGCTTCATGCTGTTTGCTTTTAAAAATGTAACATTTAATTAATCTTTTCAACAACAAAAATTGATGTCTCCATTTCATTTTATATAACTACGTAGCAAGACAGTAATGTTAATATTTAATTATCACACTAAGTTATTAGTTGAGATGTTTATGAAAGTATCTATAGCCCTGTTTAAACGGTACAGTTTTCATGTAGATTCTCGTACATTTTCTGTACAGAAACCTAAAGATACCGAACTGGAAGCAGGGCCGGCAATTAGTGTTAAGTCCATGTGGGTGGGGGTCCCCCTTCATCTTCCACGGAAAATGTATATGAAGGCAAAATACAAATCATATTTTTTTCAAATTGTCATGTTGATTACTAAATTATTATCCGATCTATTTTATGTAACTTCTGCAGTTCAATTTTGCAATGCAAAAACAGCGCTGGGCTTTGCATTTTTTATACGAACTCATTTAAGAATTTTTGCAAATCAACATTATTGGTCATGTCCCTATAAACATTTAAAATCGCTGTTGGGCCGATCTTGCAACATAGTTGATTGCATATACGCTGTGAGTCGACGCAGACGCAAAACTGAGAAACTTGATTCATTTCTGGAATTTGACTTTTATGGGAATATTTCTCTCGCCCCTAATTCCGAGAAAGTATTTTATCCACACGGCATTTTTCGTGTAGGTATAGGTACCCACCAAACCCACATTATTCGACGGGCCTGACTGGAAGTATAAAAGCCAAAAGTCGAGCAAACACGGTCTGTACGTGCTCAGCATGAATTGCCAATCGCCGCTACTGGGTTTACAGAAAAACGACTGAATTGCACCGTCCGCGTACTTTCAATTGTGATATTTCTGTGCGTGCCAGAACGTGCGTTTTGGCTGAGCGAGTGTTATTGGTATTAATCGTATTTATTAACCAATAATATAATAAGCAAGGAACATGGAATGGCCGTCATATTTGCTGACATAAGCATGGTTGTGGCTACGACGATTTTAACGAAGACACGTAGAAAAAGCTCCGAATGGATGAAGGCTTGGCTGCAGAGGCGAGAGGAAGGCTAAGGTAGTGCGTAACGTTCGGGCCCAGGGAAAAGGGAGACAATTTTTAGCCTTTTATAATTATTTAAGGTTCTAACACTTCTTGTATTTGCTATACACGTTTAAAAAGGGAACCTGGATATACGTTTTGTGGTCAGGGCTGCACTCATTTCGTTACTCTACTGCCAAAGTATTTTGAATATGGTCCATAAGGAGTGGCGCGTGGAAGATCCCGGGAATTTTAAAAATGTTCTTCATATGTCCCAGGAGAATTTTCAGGAACTCCTTAACCTTGTTTAAGGAGGATATTGAGAAACAAAATACGTACATGCGCTCTGCGATATCTCCAATGGACAGGTATGTGTAGAATATGATGAAAAATGTGTTGTACGCTACAGATCGCACAATTTAAAATTATTGTTATTTTTTTAATTTTTTTCATGATTGTATGTTACGTTAAGATACTTGGCGACTGGGCAAAGCTTCAAGCCAATATCGTTTTCCACCAAAATTCATGAGACTACAGTTGGCAAAATTGTACCAGAAGTAGTGAAAGCAATTTACAGTAAATTGATGACTCTCCACGTGAAGGTAATATATTGATGAAAATTGTAATTTTTAGTTCACCAATTAATTATTAACTATAATATAAACTATTTACTAAATATTTTGCAGTGCCCACAAATGGAGAGGCTTCAAATTGCAAATAAATTTGAAGAAACTTGGAATTATTCATTGTGTCTGGGTGCAATGGATGGATAAAACGTTTTCGAGCACCAGCATCCGCAGGTTCTTCTTATTTTAAATACAAAGGAAGCTACTCCATTGTTTCGTTGGCTGTGGTGGATACTGAAAGCAAATTTATTTGGGTTGATATAGGGGTGAATGGACGTGTAAATGATGGTGGTTTAGACAGTCATTGCTTTACAAAAATATGTCAAAACTGAATTTTCAGCTTCCAAAGATCTTGATCGGTCAAGTGTGCCCTATCACTTTCTAAGTAATGGAGTATTCTCACTTTCCGAGAGACTTATGAAACCATACCTCATGATAGGTCTCAACAATGAGAAGAGGAATTTCAAGTTTTGGCTGAGCAAAGCGAGATGATCATATTCGCATAAGAACCGAGAGTGTCATTAATACATGAACTTAGATGATTACAACAAAACAATGCATCATGATTAGGGAATGAAAATTTGAATTATTTCTAAAGATATGAATTGATGGTTGATAAAAGGAAAATACCCATAACTCACTTTCAAATTTTTCGTATGCTCCAAAAATATTCTTTTAGAAAACTAAATTGGTTTGAAAGCAATTCCAGAGACTATATTTTTGGAGGACTTAGCAGAGTTATGTTTTAGCTAGCTATACTGCTTCCAAATACAATTTGACTCATGGCAAATAACAAGAACATCAGCAAGCAGCAGCAACAGCAGCATGCGGAACCATTATGCAAACCCAACATTCACGTGATTTCAAATGATCAAAAATGTGAATTTTCATCGATTTATAAAAATAATTCTAATTTATTAGAGACGTTACAATTTTGTATGAACGCAATTCTCATGTATACCTACTTTCAGTGAGAGAACGATTACAAATTAGGAGTCCCAAGCGAAGTTTTAAATGAGTTGCAGAGCATGTACAAAGAAGTAATTTTTTGCGTCGTGTGGTGACCGATGTACAACGCAAACAATAAAATCGACTGTAAGAGTAAGACAGAGTCGTTCCCTTTCACCGCTATTATTTTGTTTATAAACGATTTAATGACATGGGTACAGGAAGCCGTACCTGTACCGGAAATTGGTCTGAAAATTTCCGGATTACTATATGCAGAGGAGTTAGTTCAATTTTCAGAAACTATTGAGCGCTTGCAGAGGAGTTTAAACAGTCTCGAAAGATATAGCAAGACATGGAAACTAAAAGTAAATATTAAAAAAAATAATAACAACGAAAATTATTGCCTTCAAGCATCTTCAAAAATGGGCTTATTTAGGGTTACAAAGAGGCATGGTATTATGCGTAGATGAACTCTCGACATTTTTCCATGAACGGGGGATGGAATAGTCACATAATGGCGGCCCAAAAATGGAAGAATTGCGCACACAGAAATAGTTTTCGCCGTTTGCGAAATGCCGGGATTGCCTTTAAAGCTTTGCGACATTGTTTAAATTGCTAGTCCTCCCAGCTATGAATTATGAGATGGAAATATTGGAAGTGGATTGTATAGAGCTATTTCCAAGCAACGAAACTGATTATTACAAATTAATCATCGAACTCGTTATTCGCAGCAAATGACGACGTCTTAAGAAAGGTCGGTAGTTTAGGAATTTGTACAGATTTTGAAATAAAACCCATTGAGCATTGGATTAGATAAGCAGGTGAACAGGCTGACACGCTTATTCATAGATGCTTTAGAGTGCCATTACAAGAAACCGATTAGCGCTACTGGTAGTTAAACAGCAGCTAGAACGCACAGGTATGAGAGATGTCTCTGTGGAGATGCTTGTGAATAGGGGGACGGGAGATAGAACTCTTAATTTCTGATTGACTTTCGCATATTAAAAGGCAAGATATCCTGACAGGAACGACCAAAAATGCTCGCTAGTGTCACAAATTCACACTAGTCCGGTATGAGTTTGTGCATGTTACGTTCACACACTTTTGTAATGGCTTAAAGACCTTTCACCTAGCCACAGTATCAGGTAATGTAATATAGGCTTTTAAGTAAAATAAATACCTATTTAATAATAATAGTAGTAATAATAATAGTAATAATAATAGCTGAAGCATGTTCCAATATCCCTGATCCTTCTGAATGAATAATATTATTACAAATCAAAATATTTTTTGAAGCCATTGTGAGGTACTTGAGATTTATTCAGGTGGAGTGATAAACTTGCATACAAATGATGGGCCATGGCCAGGAGTAACTAAAGTGTCAGGGGCCCTCATTGTCCTGCCATCTTTATTGTGGGTGAGCGTCCTCATTCGGGGCCCTTGACTGGGCGGGGGGGGGGTGAGTGCCCCGGTGCTGCGCACCGTTGCACCAGCCTAGCTGCGCCCATGACCCTGGGTCGTAGTCGTCATAATCTCCGTTGCTCTCATACTCTTGCTTACCTAGTTTTTCCTCCTTCTGTCTCTCTCTCTCTCTCTCTCTCTCTCTCTCTCTCTCTCTCTCTCTCTCTCTCATACATACATACATACATACATACATACATACATTCATACATATACATATATACATGTATGTGTTCAGAAATTCCCGTTACAAAAAAAACAGATTCTATGTTGACCTTCATAGAGAATAGGAGATCACGTTTTTTGAAAAATATTGTCTTCAAGAAGATTGAGTTTAAATATTACTTCCGGGCGCGAAATTCAAACCGGCTAACCCGTTACAGCCCCGGTGTCTGCTAACGGGGCTGGGCGTCGCGTCATTTCTCCCCGATTTCGGCGAAACTGATAAGTGAGGCAAAAATCGCTTACGTCATGCTAGAGTACTTTAATAAAATCGAATGTTTTATGTGTACTATTAATTAAATATATTAAAAATGCATTTGTGTAATGAACTATAATTACGATGGTAAGAGCGTAACAATTACCGCTAAATGCAAACCACAACACGACTAGGACTATGAATAGAACAATAAATATGAACAAATGCAATGGAAACAGACAGAAAAACACACACATACAAAAAGAGCATGCCTTACTAACGTGAGGAATATTAAACATACATTATAACACACTTGACCACAAATGCCAACTGAGATTGCATGATAACCCATTTCACACAGACACCATGATCCTAACTGAAATAGTGTGTCAATAGTACGAGAAATACACCTCTCTCAAGGAAAGCACATACGGGACAAATCATCACATCAAAAAACATCAAATAATTTCCAGTTGCTTTCCAATATAAACTACATTTTGTTTTCATCTATATATATATATATATATATATATATATATATATATATATATATATATATATATATATATTCAGGATATTAAATTTAATACGACAAAAACCTGTTATAAACTAAATCAGTGGGACTTGATATATACTGACTAGAAATATGAAAAAAGAAATAAAACACATGGGAGGTCATGATCATAACCAGGCTAAAGTCAACATCATAATATTTGATACCAAAACTTGAGAACCAGTAATTACTCTGGTAGACAATACATCTAGTTGTTGTTTTTTAATCCATGAGCATAAATTATTTTAAGCAAACCGACACTATTTACAAACATTTTAACAATTAGAAACCAATTGTACCTGTATTAACTGAACACTCGTATTACATTTATGTATATACATAAATACACATGGGCATAAGTATAATGAATATAAGTATTATATGGAAAATCTATTATATAATTTACAGACAATATATATAAGCCATTTATACAATACCTATGTAATAGGGATTTTTTAAAAATATACAGACATACACATCAATTTATAATGACTAATAATAACATAACTATACTAATATACATTATTCACAAAGTTCCTTAGTTTGTAACATCAAGTATAACAATGTGTAACAAGTGAACAAAACGTTACCAGATAATGTTGACGTAAACTGTAATGAGCTCATCAATGTCCCTGGTTATGAATAACATATCCTTAAATAACCTTTTCTTATAGATGTGTTCTTTATGAAGAATCTTGGTATCAGCAAAATTGAACAAATGTTTAATCTCTTTCACATGCGCTAGGACACATATTTTCTTATATTCAAAATGGAATTTATATTAGTAAGGAACTGGAAATTATTTAATGTATGTTGTACCTGAAGTGCTTTCCTTGAGGGGGTGTAGTGCTCGTACTATTGAAACACCATTTCATTAGGATTGGTGATGTGTGTGTTGAATGAGTTATCATGTCATCTCAGTTTGCATATGCATATGTGTTGAAGGGTGTTATAACGTTTATTTAACGTGACGATTTTCGAATGACGGCATATGATAGGTTGGGAAGCTAAAAACGCGAGTAATTAACAGCAACAACAACAACCAAAAAGAGATTGATATTAGAATCAGAGCTCAGGGTATGGGAGAATTGAGGAAATATTAATTACCCAAAAATGCAATTCACAGTGTAATTTAACGAATGTTAACGACATTAAGCACACTGTTTGTTAAAGAATGTTAATGACATTATTTCAATCATACATTCAATGCTATATTTTTACGGGTATGTTTTGTACGTCTTTTTAATAATAAATGCGTTATGTCATTAAAAGATATCATACCAATTATGTTCTCGCATGTCATTAACGAAGTTGTTCCCTTGAAAGAATTCCCTCTTTCTTTAATTTTTATAGAGAAATTATTGTTTCCGGCCTGTGTGACTCATCAGGTTCATAAAAATAAGAGTCTGGGTAAGTTAGGTCACAATGTGTGTGTGTGTGTATACTTTTTAGAAAATTTTTTCGATGCCTGACTCTTGAACGTTATATCATCGAGGAAATATTGCAATTTTCTTCATGATAATACCTGCGCAACAAAATATAATATTGAGGTAATGAATCCAAGAGCATACCTTGTCCTGTTGAGACGCGATCCCATGTTAGCTGATGGTGCATACTCTGCTGTGCATATACCATTGAGATAGTTTGTCCAAGAAGAACATTTAATTCCACGATAACCTACGTCAGTTGTAATGCTTTCAGTGAAAAGATAATGCGCTCTGCTGTGGCTGCATATTTCGGAAGAGACTGAAATGTGATCGTAAAAATAATATTAATAAATTAAATAAAACCAACTCTTCAACACATACTAATATTCTGTGAATGGAAGAGAACGTTAGCTTCACCGTCAGGGGGAGGGGGAGGACGCATCCTCCAATATATTTACTTTTTCACATTTACATAGTAAGAAGAGAAAATATTGTAATCTTGCGCCGGAAAACGGCGAATTTCTGGCAGAAAAACACTTATTGCTGGACCCTGATAACGAAAAAGTGAACAAATCATGTTCTGTTTGTAGTATTCAATAAATTACTTCCTCTAACACGTTATGTAATAAGAATCCATATTTTGTGAGCCCTTGATGCCGAAAAAACGATTAACGGCAAAACGTCTGTCTATCCGTCCGTCTGTGGTCAAAGCAGGTTATCTAAACAATTTAGCCGATTTTCTCCAAAATGTATATTACCCGACCGATCTGATCAAACTCCAGGATTTACGAGTTTGAAACGGATATTTTAATTTTTGAGAATACATTTTATGAAGCCTAAACAACATTTTCAAAATTTTCTCAAAAATGGCTCCAAATTTTCTGATTAAACTTTGTACTCCGATTGACTATAAAACGCTTTAGATAATGTAGAAAACCTCATTTGCATTGAAATCCCTGATTTTTGGAAAATTGAAAAAGTTTAATTTTTGGCATCTTTCTTCAACTGCAATATTGAGGATGGAGATTCTTTTTCGTAATAAAATTTGGTTTTTTAGATACCTCGAAATAAGATCATGAACATTTTTCTAAAATTTGAGTCTTTTTGCGAAATTCGTCCCAAAATATAGGCAATGTTTAATTTTTTTAACAATATTTTTCTAAAAAACTACTCCAAATGTTTTCGTTAAATATTCATCTTCTACGTATCAAGGGACGGTAAAAATTTGTACTGCTCTCATTTCTGGCAAACACTCTATATTTTTCGAAAATTGCAAAATTTTAACATTTAAAAATTACAAATTGAAGACAGATTTTTGCCTTAAACAATATATGTTTTAAAACATCAGCTCTTTAAAAAAGGCCAAGTACAAAAAAATAGTTTTGGCGTAAGTTGTGCTTGAAATTAATCCAATTTCTAAAAAAAAAACTTTTTCTCATACAACCGCTTCAAATGTGTTCTTTCAATTTTTTCCTCGGATGTATCAAAAAACGGTCAAAATATGGCTCTGGTCCCATTTTCGCCACACTCTCCGTATTTTTGAAAGTAGGGAAAAGTTAACCATTCAAAACTACAATATTGAAGATGAAGATTTTTGCCTTAAACAAAATCTGTTCTCAAAAATCAGAAAAAGGACGAATACAATTTTTTTAAAGAAACATGTAGTTTTCACGTAATTTTGGATTGAAATAAATGAAAATTGTAAAAAAAACTTGTTTTTAAAATTACAATGCTTGTAATATTAATCTATTTAATATTAAATGTTTTAAATAATAGACAATTATATGAAAGGGAATCAAAAATGTACATTATGTTATAATGTAAAATTGTAAATCAAATTGTGATCACTAATGAACACGAAGTTGCACAGCGATCTAAAATAAAATAAAATAATTAAATAAATAACAGTTTTTCAAGCTGGTCTTATTTTTTGCTTTACATATTTTCCATGTTTGAAACAAGAGACGCTTAAAAGGATGGTGTAGGTCTCATTTACGTAGATAGTCTGAATTTTCGAAAAGTGCCTGTTGGAAATATTGCGTTGCGACAATTATGTATTTAAGCGTCGGCCCGAGTTGGTACGTCAGATTGGCTGCTTCGTGTAGAGGTAAGGGGCGTGGTGCGTTAACTTGGAGGACCTGACTTCGAATATCTGCGTACAAAAATGTTTTCCTAGTAAAAAGCAATTTTGCATGTTCATGTAGTAGTATAATATTGCGGAGCAGTTATAAATAATACGAGAAAATATGTGGCGTTGTCGCACTACTAGTTTGGTGTATGTGATATATCGGAGCGGAAGCCCTGGTAATTTGTTCCTTATCTATTAAATCTCCCCAATCTCAATAATTTGCTGCTAATATCGCCCGTGAAAGGGAACAAAGGATCTAGCCAGCAGAAATGTTCCTGTTATTCAAGACTAGAGAATGTAGTGAAATGGAAGAAAATAGAGCATGACATGTGTAGGTAGTGGTGCAACAATAGCACTTACGTTCTTGTGTAATTTGTAATGATTACGTACTAATACAACTTTTGCAAACGGCTTATCTATTATGCACTGCAATTACATTAATGTGACCACTACCTATGTTCGACATAAACTGGCAATAACCCCTCACAGACAGCAGGTGGCAGCGCTAACAGTGGAGGGTACATAAAGCGTGTCGGGTGGAAATAATGCAAAATAATAATGTGGTCAACGCCAGCACGTATAACGTTTAGGCAATTTTTCTCTGAAATTGATATTCCTCCAACAATTTCAAGGAAATTAAGGTAAGCTTGAAACTGATACTTTGATTTGGAGAATTTTTTTTCATTAAGCCTCAAAATTTTCTCTAAAATGGTTCCATTTTTTAAAATTAAACTTTTTTCTCGGATAGCGTAAAAAGCTTCAAAGAATGTCATTATAGTTAATATCTATGATTTTTCGAAAATTGCAAAAGTTCAAAATTTTTATCGGTGCCTTCCTACAACTACAATATTGTAAAAATTGAGATTTTTATCCTTAAAAACATATTTAATTAATGTCATGTACAATTTTGTGAAAATATTAATAGTTTCCGCATAATTTTGTGTGTAATATAGGCGATTTTAAATAATTCTTTGAATGGTATAAAATGGTGCTGGACCTACTTTTCCCAGCCTCTCTGTATTATCGAAAATTGCAAAAAATATTACTTCAAAAGTACAATAATGATGATAAATATTTTTGTCTCGAATGAAATCTGTTGTGAAAATTCAGTTCTTTAAAAACGTTCGTGTACAATTTTTTGAGAAAACAAAGAGTTTTCGTGTAATTTCTGCTTAAAATGAATGCAAATTATAAAAAAATCTCAAAAACTCCTCAAAAATGTTTCCACGGATAGAAAAAGGGGTGCTTAAAAAGTGAATGACGCAGGTCTCATTTTCGTTATACTCTGAATGTTGGGAGAAAATATGTGTTAAAACAGAACATGACATGTCTTAACCAACAAATCCCTGAACTCTCTTCACCTCTGCTGAAATTAGTGCAAAGTGTACACCCCTAACCCACCCCCAGCCCTCCCTACTCCACTAACCTTCGCTCGCCCGACTCTCTCTCAAGCATCCACCAGCACCCCCGCATTTTACGACCCTTCACCCGCACCCCACCCCTCTTCCCGCCCCACCCGCTGCCGACCGGCTGTGCTCTTAAACAAGACACACGCTCAAAAATTCGCAGAACTTTGTTTTCGGCCCAGAAGCTGCAAGGTATGTACTATCCAGTTTGCTTACGCATCTTGTATACAATAACTACAACCTGTTAATAATATTTGTATTTCACATTTTAGCTCTGAGGATGATCGCTACGCGATCGAAATGATCATAAGCTGAATTAAAATATTGATACCTGACAATATCTTTATTTATTTATCAAAAAAGGTCCCCTAAACAAAATGACATTTGAGTAGGTACACTATAACAGAAATGATATTTTTGAAAGGTTTCTTACCCCCAACCGACCACTCACACCCTCTACAGCCAAAAACTTGTTTTTTTAATTTTTTCAATCCCTAAAATAATTCCTAATATCAGAGAACTTTTTTGGTATTTTGTCAGCACCAAATTCAAATGCAAAGAAATATTCTTGAAAAAATAACAAAATATTTTTTTACTGTCTTAGAACCTCGAAACAGGTTCGAAGAATCTCTTAAACCATAAAGTCTTGTGGACGTATTTAAGATTTTTTCGATTGCTGCATTAGTTAAAAGAATAAAAACTTTTTTACCATTTTGCCACCTTTAAAGCACATTGACTTTAAACATACATTGCAAATATCTGCAACAGTTCTGTGAACTTATTTTAGACTTTATTATACATTTGTACACATTATTGTAGCATCCAGTAATATTTTGACTGTTATATGTAACAAATTATTGTTTTTAAAAGCTTTCTAATTCTTTGTATATCATATGCTAACGAAAGACGGTCGCTTTTGGCAATTAATGTGAAAAGAATTCGGTCAAAGGTGCAGGATAAGTTGGGGACATATGGGGAAATGAAGGAGAGCAAATTGAACCGAGCTTTACACAAACTGTTTTACTGTGTCGTAGAATACCGGATCAGGCACGAAAAAATCTTAAGACTTTCTCTCAGAACACCTGTGAATTTTTAATTAAAAACGAAAAAAAAATAAAATGAAAAAAAACAGGTTTGGGGCTATATAGGGTTGGGTAGTCGGTCGGGGGCTAGGAAACTTTTCAAAAATAGTATATTATACCTTTTATAGTGTACTTTCTCATATGTCATTTGGTTTAGGGGAACTTTTTACCATCTTATCCGGGAGTACCCTTTTAGTGAAATCCGTCGGAGCAGTTTAGGTTCTAGGATAGACTACAAACGAACGCCGTATTAGAGAAAGTAATTTACTACATACACGGAATACAGTTTATCCATTTTTTCGATATCACAGCCCCACAATACGAGTTGTTCTGATGAAAAATGGACACACAGCTCTGCAGCATTACAATACTTTACTTTTATTGCGTAAGTACGTAATAAGCGAGAGAGTAAGAATTATCTTAATGCCATTGTAGCTAAAACAAACTTGATTGATGCTTTTGATGTAACATTTGTAATAACTCGATTTTTTCCCATTGACAAAGTCTCGTTGTTACAATAAAACTTGTTTCATTATGGTATTCATCTGAAAACTCTAAATTAGTAACTATTGGATGCTTTTGTAGCACAAAAATTGACTTTGATATTACCTCCAGTGCATCCTGGCTGAGGTGCTTGACCTCCGTTGGGGTAAAAGTCGTAGTGACCAAGGGGTTCAGCAATGCCAAAAGTATGAGCACTTGTGTGAATCACGTCGACAACATCTGCCCTACTTTTCTCCAGACGATCTGGATTTTTTATGTCTGAAAATCCTGGCCTTGCTGGATCAAGAGCTGAAAAAAAATTTTTTTTACACATTTTTAATAGAAAATGGAAAGGAATAACGTTATTGATATCCCTCATTAATTTGCAATTATACAAAAGTTGGGGAGAGTCTTGTAGTCATGGCAACTATTATTTTTCTAAAAGAAATGTTATCAGATCAGACAATTTTATTTGTCGGAAAGAAATGCTGTTCTAATGTGTGTTCACTGCAGCAGATAGCTCTTTGATTGTCTCTATTAGCACAGAGAGCTTGTGAAATCAGTTGTCTGACTGCCACGATGCGAGATGAATGTAACCCGTTTCTAGAAGTGTTTATACACCAAGGTAGCCGATCTCTGTGGGAGAAATGCCCGAAAATGTCACAGGGAATTGGTGTCTTGGGAATAATACCCTTCCATACCGGACGGTTGCGAAATGGAGAGGAGAGTTTGAGCGAGGACGCGTGTCAACCGGGGACCTGTGAGTGTGCGAGCCGATGTGGCAAATGCGGTATTGGAGAATCTGCATAATCGAGCCTTTAGAACAGATATGTAATGCTTTTGGAATGGAATGTACTTGTATATGCTAAAATGCTTTGGAACATTAAGCTAGTACTGTCATTTCAAAAATCTTAATAAATATGATAAACACACTTTTGATGTGCCGTTAAATTCCATGCACTTAGTTCATACGTATATTTCACATTTTCCACCCGTGATCGTATTCTTACCAAAAACAGCGTTGCCATGACTTCTGCCTCAACTCTCGTATTAATCTTAACTGCTGACTTTTTGCAATTTATTTATAAAGCTATGCGAATTTTTCATTTATTTTGATTGCCACTAAGTTTTCATCTTTCGTGAAAGTCTTGCTGTACTATAAGATCATGTTATTTTGACCCTGCAGAATTAGTCCCAAATTGAGAAAATGACAGAACGATGGCTGCTATAAACTGGTTTCTTGAGGATCATACAGAACTGGCGTAAGCTTACCTTCAAATAGTTACTATTCGAACTTATTGGAACGAAATAGTGTTTCTACAGTAACAGTTTGTTTGCAAAGCAGGTAATGATTAATTAAGATGGTGAATATCCCATATAAATATTTATCCCATATGAACCATATGGAATAAATATTGAGTATGAGGAAGAGAAACCTAATTCACGTAAGGCTCCATGTTCACAGCTTTTATAATAACAAAACATATTTAATAATTACTTTTAATTGTTTCATGTAAAAATGGAGCCACAAATTAATTTCAAATCCTTCTTCTTCTTTCCCGAAAAGTATTAATCTCCAAATGTTGCATTGACGATACAAATTGTCCAGATTTACTCGCACAAAATTAAAGCAATGAGTTGTGTCGACCGAAACAGCGAGGTTACCAAATATTTTATAATTCAACGTTACACAACTTTTGCAATTGCTCATTTATAAGGCTTCCAAGCAAACGCGCGTAAATACATATTAAATGGTAGACATACGTCGCTCATTTCGCCTTGCTGCGCTTGAATACTTCAAAACGTTCAGGAAATTAGAAGCATATTTGTCTCGCTGGCCGTCTGCTCTTATTTTGTTAGCCTGTTCACAGAAGTTAGCTTTAGATAGCGCAAAGAGACACTACTATCTGGCTGCTGTTGGCAATTTTACTAAAAGATTGTGCCCATGCGCTTGTCCATGTCAGTTGGCTCTCCTTCCGTCATTTTTGCGATTGCAGTTGGCTCAATTTTATGATGCTTCTTTACTTCGTCATGCAATCTCAATTGAAGAAAAAATACTATGCACTGAGAAGTAATTGAAATAGTAATAAAACGTGCTGTGCTCTTTATGCTTCTTTAAACATTTCTTATATTTTACACACATTGTATTATACAATAACAATACTAATAATAAATAATAATATATAATAAATTATAATAATAATAATAAATAATAATAATAATAATAATAAATAATAATAATAATAATAATAATAATAATAATAATAATAATAATAATAATAATAATAACAGAATGCCTTCATGACGAGTATTATATGTATTTTAAAATCAAATCTCGCGAGGCGTGCGTGTTCACCACGTGATGTATGAGTTATGAATACCATGTCATCTTTCCGTGAGCCATCAACGAATACAAACGTTTTCGAAGAGGCACACCGGGAGAAATGACCCAAGGCATCAACTGATATTACTGCAGTCACTCTGACCGGAAGGTCCTCGGCTCGAGTTCCGACGGTGGCAGGATTTTCGACACTAGCTTGTTAGCTAGGTCGAATTCAGATGTGGTCTGAAGGCTGATTCTAGCGGCCGGCTGCTCTGATTGGTACTTTTCCGTGGTTTCTTCGATCAACACCAGGCGAATGTTGGAGCAGTACCCTAACAAACGGGCCACGGACCGAGCGCGATCTCGCCTTCCTCTTTATTGTCAAATCCTTACTCACACACTTACACTAACATCACTACACTATCATCCAGATCGTGAGACCGGTCGGGAACGTAGAGCTTGTTCCGACTGGGCCGGTGCCCCAATGGTGGGAGATACCTGGTTGAGGAAACCCCGGTGCCAGATCTCGCTATCCAGCGGGAGAAGACCACAGCCACCGCTCGAGCACAAATATTCACTAAACTTACGGGACTAATGAGCAGAGTATGATGACTAATGAGCAGAGGAAGTGCCCAGAATCAATCTAAGAAGCGTGTTTGAATTGAACATGTTTCGTGCTAGGGGGATACTTCTTTGAGGTAAACATGATGTTCAATTGTTCACTCCGCCTCTGCGGAGGCGAAAGTGTTCCTCGCTCGAGTCGGTCAGCGAGCGAGTTTTCTCGGACACATTTCTACGCATTCATTTCTTAAATGACATCTAGGCATTAACTAGCGCAGGAACATATTAAGCAGTGCATAGAACCCAGGTTATAATATTTAGAAGTAAAAGTTGTGATAAATAACCTGTTTTTTAACTGTTTACTTGATTTTCTCTTGAAATGGAAATGAACAAGAAACAAGTTGTATGGACGATATACTTCCTTGAATGAAACCCGTTCATATTGAGAAATATAAAAATAAAATTTTATAAGCAGAAACTTGAAGCGGTATTTTGAAAGAATTAAATTAATCCATTATTTTTTCTTAATTTGTATTTAATATTTATAAATAAATTTATTAATTGTGAACTTTATTATGAATTATTATTTGAATTATTCGATCATTCATCATTTATTCATAATTCAAACAACAAATATTGTAAAACAGTCGAGATTACGTACTTCAAGAAAATATGCACAGATTATACTTCTCCACTATACGTCAAATAAATTCCTATATTTTACTTTAAAAAATGATTTATATGCAATGCAGTAATGTGTTTCTGTTTAGGCAATTTGAACTCGTTAAACAGATGGTTTACGATTATGGTAACAAAACAAGAATTTCACGGGTTAAAGTTACACAACAGCATTTAATAAAACAAGAAATGGAACTCGCGGCTGATCTCATAGCTAACTTCTATAGGCACTCTCGGCTTGTGGTACATGAAGGCATTTCGAGACATCGAATAACCTACTATTTCTAGTGTGTAGCCTCAGCCTCATCGGCCTCTTTCCTCGGCCTCTCGTCGCACAACGCATCGCTTGGCGTAATCTGTTACGGGCCACCTCTTTCTGAACCTGGCACGTCGCAATAGCAATAAACTTTTGCCTTCTGCCAGGTTGCATAAACGGTGTCCGGCCGAGGAGACCGCCCAATGCTTTGCAACGACAAATACTCAACGATCTCAGGGATACGAGTGTAAGCTGTGCTCTAGCAAGGTATAGCACGCAGCAATTAGCTGAATGACACTACCGAATACTTTATTTCTTAATTGCGCATGAGAACGGCACAATATTGGGTAAATGATATGTATCCTATTTCTTGACAGAAAATAGTGCCTTCTATATTTTCTTGTTCGTGTTTAGATAGTCTTACGATGCTGTTATTTGATGCGGCTAATTCTGGACACCTGTAGAAATTTATTGACCTTCCTTCATGAACGAGTATTCACCTTATTTTACTCAAAGCAGCGTATAACCTTGGAATACGATTTAGGTGCTACTGAGAGTCCCATCAACTATACGCCACCCCCATAACTTCTAAACGATTCACAATACTATACAAATGCAGTTTTTGCTCAACAATACGGAATCATGGGGCAAGTAATATGCTGTAGAAATATTGTTTGAAAATATTTTTCATTTTCGAGAAGTTTATCATCTTCGATTTTTGAAATGGAACTATATTTTTGATATATTGATATATTAACATATGATGCATTATTGTATTCCTCTTTTTATGATATATCAATGGCTGGCGAGAAAAAATTATAATTCCATTTCAAAAGTCAAAGAGAATTAAATTTTAGAAAATTAAAAATATTTCAAACAATATTTCTACAGTATGTTACGTGCCTCATGATTCTGCATTATTAAGCGAAAACTACATTTTGATTTTATGAACCGATTAGAAGTTATGGGGTGGCCTGTAGATGTTGGACACTTGTATATGTCGATTTGAATTATGATTTAAAATTTTAAATATATTATAATTTGTGACTATAACTTCTAACTTTTATTTACCTCTGTACAAATATATAGTGTTATGATATCAATTTTGTAATTGATAAAATCAATAATATTTATATATTAACTGACTCTTAGCATACACAAATAAATATAAAATATAGAACAGTCAATAGTTGGAAATCTGCTTGAAATATTATTTTTGTACCGGAAAGGTGAAATATTCGATATATTTGAAATTTAAATTGATTTTAAATGTTTTGATACAAAAGCAAATGTTCTAAAAAGTCGATCATAAGAATTTGCATATTATTTATTTCATTCACATACCTGTGATTCGTCCTACACGACCCTTACTACAGGTCACACTACCAATACCAGCTATGTGAGCTCCCAAGCTGTGACCAATTATATGTATTTTTTCTAGTTTTGCACCTTTTTCCACAAGAAAATCCAAGAGAACTCCCAGTTTCTTGCCAATTGCTTCGATGATTGACAAAACGTGTTCACAGAAACACCATTTGGAAAGACCGGACCAGTCCATCAGCATAATATTATGATCTGCTGCTGTAAGATATGCTACAAAAGAAATATCCATTATAAGGCATTTTACTGTGTTTGATTATCTATAAACCTACATTATATGTTTCTGGTATTGTATAATTAATACTAACCAGGGGATGTTAGTCGTGGTAATCAAATATCCATGTAATTTCCCTATTAATTGTTAATATTGAAATTATATAAAACATAAATCGCTAATTGCGACAAAGAAATTTCGTATTTTATTTTTTTCACTTTCACGTGATTAAAACATTCACATAAAAGTCATTATGTGTATGATTTGTTGTGTAAATACAGTGCGTCGGTGATTTTTTATTAAGACAATTCAATTGTACTTGCAACTGAGATCAAGTAATTTGGTGAGGTCCAAATTTCAATAGATATGTATTTATTTATAAAGTTACAGGGGATTTGCCAATTTGGTATATTTATTGCATCGCATACTCCATTAGGAAATGGTGATAATATCAATGTCAAATACTTTGATTTCCGGGGATCCATAATCCTTTTTATGGTTTACTAGTTCATTACTATGTTTTTGGACCTAAAAAATACGAAAGGGAATACTTAATACTCTTGCATGCAGTGGCGGATCCGGGGGAGGGGGCATGGTGGCCAAAGGCCTGAAGTTTTCGTTTGTTATTTTCATTTGGCAAAATTGATTTAAGTATTTATATTCGAATTATGCAATTATTTAAATAATACTATTGTATAGTATCATATATTCACCACAAACATAATATGCAATATTAAAACAAATATGCTTATTATTTTACAAAAATCTATGAAGCCTTCGCCCCCGCTCAAATTATCGGCTGTATCAGCTCTTGCTTGCAGGCCTTTCGGATTCTTTATGCCCACGCGGGCTTTTGGAGTACTTTAAGCCCGCTCCGCTATCAACAGAACAAATAACACATTTTTTGAAAATAATTTTTTCGAGTTTAGAACAGGAAATGCAATGGCATATTGCTCAAATATGAAAAATAACTTGATATAAACATCATTTTGTGGAACTAAAATGACAATTGAAATTTTGGAATTTACCAGGAATTTAAAATTCCATCAGTCACCCATATTTCACAGTTGCGTATCACATATTTTAGAGACACATACTATGCTTCTTGAGTAGGAGTAGTATTAATAGTAATGGATATAGAAGGCACTCCGGCTAACGTTCTTGAAATGTTATTTTTTTGATGTAATTAAAAAATTCTAAATAACTTTCGGCAATACTGACACGTAACCTTAAAGTACAGTTTCATCTACGCAATTCGCACAGTTATTTTCCATCCAACTCACTAATACACCATAATGATTTTCATATATTTCCCGAGATTTTACTGGAAGCAAACTGTCCGTAGCTTTGTTAGATGTTTCGAGAATTTTCAGTAGGAACTTCACAATATTATTTCGTTTTGTTCGTAAAAACCAGTCCAACTATATTTATGCGTTAGTCTGTTTTATTTTGCTGACAACATATTGGTAGTTGACGATTACAATGTGTCTTCTCACTATGATGTCAGGAAAATTTTAAAATGGTCCGAATTCTTGTTTGGCTTCTGCAACGAACTAGTAAACCATAATGTTTTATATGTACCACGGACGTCACGTGATGTTTATGCCGTAAACATAAATAACTATTATGAGAGTTAATTTTCAATGTTTCTATTATACTCACCGAAAACCATATGTTCAAAGTTCTTTGCGCTTGAAAAGTAGCCATGAACTATAATTTTCGTGTCCTCAGTTATATTGAATCCTGAGTCTGTAAATGATTCATTATCTCCAGGAATGAAGTTTTTGGCTTCAGGTTCATATTTCCTTTAAATTAAAAGAAATGTTTTGAAATATTGTAAGTTGTCTGTAAAAAGTGACTCAATAAGCGTTTCTAAGAATAATAATAAAAATAGACACTTAATGTCAAATAAAATTATTGAACTTCATATAAATTATACAGGACGTCCCACCAACCATAACTTCTCAATAGTTCACGATACCGAAATGCAGTTTTCGCTGATAAATGCGGAATCATGGATCAAGTAACATGACGTAGAGAAATTGTCTATAATATTTTAGGTTTTTAGAGAAATTTAATCATCTTTAATATTTAAATGGAACTGTATATTTTTTCTCACCAGCAATGGATAGATCATGAAAAGATAAATACAGTGATGTATCAAATTGCAAATCTCGCCTTCGGGAAAGGTGGACTTCGCGGCGTCGAGATTGAAGAGAAAAGACCGAGAGGGGTGGCAGTGAGGGTTAAGAGGCGTAATACAGCAATCCATGATCTTGCCACAGAGGTCGCAGTAAGAAACACCAATGACAACGATCAAAATGGGAAATTTGTTTTCCATTGATTGATTCATCTGATCAATGGATCAACTTATCTTTTACTGTAATTCCAAAATACTGATCATTCCAAGGAACGATAACAAATTGATAGCGTAAGGAGGATAATAATAAATATCATTTTCATACTTGACAGGAATGAAATTTTCTTAGTAATAGGAACAAGCACTTAGACTCATTTTTAGTAAAGGAAGGAAAACGTCCCGAAATAATAAGAGAAAATTATTATTATTTAAATTACTATTATTTGATAAATTAATCAGGATGTTATAATAAAAATCTGTAATACTATAATAAAAATCTTCCTTTGCTTTAAAATGCTGACTTGTTTCTGCTATAACGCACTGAGCTCGATTCGTGTAAGTTTGAAAGTCATCTTTATTATTATCGTCCCCACGCTACCATTTTTTATTTTGTTCTTTTTGATTATCGTTGCTTTGGTGTTCCAATAGAAGAAAAGTTCAATTCAGGTCAACCAACGGGAAACATCTCATTCTACTCGTTAATATTGATGTGTGTTCGTATGATCTTCACGTCAAGACAATGGATTGCTGTGGTTACGCCTCTATCCCTCACGGCCACCCCTCTCCACGTAACAGTCTGGATGTTGCGAAACCCACCTTCCCCCACGGTGACTGTTGCAAGGGCTGCTACAGAAAATATTGTCCGTTTACTTCAAAATTACATGTCGGAAAGTAATTTTTTACTCAAATTACTATCAAAATACTAACATATGAAGCGTCATTGTATTCCTCTTTTCATGATCTATCCACTGTTGGCGAGAAAAATATATAGTATCATTTAAAAATCACAGATGGTTAAATGTCTCAAAAACTAAAAATATTACATACAATTCCTCTAAGTCATGTTACTTGCCCCATGATTCCGCATTGTTCAGCGAACACTGCATTTCGATATCGCGAACCGTTTAAAAGTTATGGAGGTGGCCCGTAGTTGGAGGGACACGCGTATAGAGAGTTCATTTTCTGATAAGTTTCGTGTTATATTTTTCGTAATTCTATTACTTCAATGTTTTTGTAAATTTATTGTGTTTGATTTTCTTTATTTAGTTCCCCGATGGCTGCCATCTATTCGTGAAGTAGATCAAAATTGATACAGTGGCATAATGGGTCACTTTGGAGAGTAGATGGGACCTTTTATATGAGATATGTGCTAATTCGTTGATAGATTTTTCGTGCTTCCAGGCACATCCACTTCTATTCTCATTAGACCCTGTACTGTATGTTTTTTTTAATCTTGAGAGGTGGCGGTGTTCTTGCCCCGCCGGGTGTTGCGATACAGCGTCAACCTTCACGTCGGCTTACGGGGATTTCTCCATCCAGGTCTCTCCTCCAGCCGGGCACCGCCCCAGCCGGGACGAGTTTTGGCTCTGACGGGTTCGGGCTCTGACGATGCCGGCTGGTCCCCCGACATGCGTGGTAATCTAGTGCATGTAAGTTAGTGTATGTAAGGCGTGATAATAAGGCAAGGAAGGGAGAGGAAAGATCGCGTGCGATCCGTGACCCGTTTGTTAGAGTACTGCTCCGGCGTTTGCCCGGTGAGAGAAACCACGGAAAACTACCGACCAGAGCAGTCTGCCGCTAGAATTCTCCTCCAGACAGTCGGCTAAATTCAACCTAGCTAAGCAGTTTCTGACAAAAATTCTTCCACCATCGGGACTCGAACCCTATAACCTCGCGGTCAGAGGCGCTGTAATAGCTGTGCTAATGCTCGTGCGCATACTTACGGAGTGTAAAGAATATAGGTGACTCCTTCGTCGACAGATGCCCCCGCAGGCGTGGCTTCGGCCTTTCTGTTCTTACAGCTCTTCGGAAGCGTCACGTCCGGAAAGCAGAAAGTTTTTGCGCTGGTGCCATTTGCTTGATTGTGCAAATGCAGTAGTGGAGATCTTATTAGCCACATTGAATCCAATTGCTTTTATAAATTATATTCCATTTATATATTATTATAATGGAATAATTAGAAGATCATAAAATATATTGAAAACTTTTCTTCGGTATTTTGCTTAATTTAAGAAGATGACATGTATAAGGACAAGCAGATTGATAGCGGGGAGAAGGACGTAGTACTTAAGATAAAGGACGATTAATATGAAGGGAGTAGACGTGAAGATGAAGCATTTATCGGACTACAAGTATATCAATCTCTCATCAGTTGAGAGAGGTCATGTAATGTAAACAGCCGTAACGGTTGAATTGTTATGCTAATTGTATATTTTAAAGTGATCTATCTTTGAATTCCATGTTTTTGGTCGGAAGTACAGATATGAAGCGTATGACTTGACAGCGGTTGTGAAAGAAAAGGGACTAAGACTAGCGTCCATGCTCAATGTGGTACTAACAACATTGTTTATTTCATCAGAAATTTACGAAATACGGTGTCGTAGTCATTGCATCTACCTAAGTCACCTTTTAATACTTTTTTATCATACATATATTTATTTACTTTATTACAATTAATATAATTTATTTAATTAATGTTAAAATAAGGACATACAAATTATAATTGTCCACCCTGTTTCCGCGTTCTGAGAATTCTAAATCAAGATAGTAATATTGCAGGTGACTAGAGATATTGCTGATATGTATGGGCAGGAGAGGGAAACGTAAGAACCTGCAGCGAATCACATTGTTCTTTACGGATTTCACATCAATAGACTTTGATTCAAATGACTCATGTGTTGCGAAAGGTGCTAGCCTCACCAACTTCTTACTGCAACATGATGAGCTTCCTTTAGTAGCGACAATTAAAGGCAACGATTTTGCAGTGTATCATTAATAGTTTCTTCTTCAAAAAGTGAATTGATGTTGCTGTTCTACTGTCACTAGGGATGCGATATCGATGCCGATGTTCTCAAAACATCGATGTTTTTGTAGAAACGTCGATGTTTAAAATATCAATGTATTAACACCGATGTTTTTTTAAAAATCGATGCTTTTTCTTTTCTAAAGTTTTGTTTCTGAATGAAAATTTCACATGATCACAATACTGTAAAAGTTAAAATGTGAAATAATAACTGAGAGTGACTGTTATTCATGTATTGGAACCAAAGGAACGCTATTTGCACCACCTTCATCGACCAAACTCTTCCGCCCGAGATAACCTCCATGCCTTTGTATTTCCTCTTTCTTCATATTCATTTCACACATCGAGAAGAAACAAACAAATGCACTGTGGACGTAGGGTTTGCCCTTTCTTCTCGTACCATTATTCAGCGAATTGATAAACATGAATACTGTGAAATTAAATTTTAATGCACATGAATTTAATGTTAGAGGTTACTAATCCGGTCTAAAAATATCGATTTTCAAAAACATCGATTTGAAAAACATCGATGGTTTTATTCGATGTATTTTTAACATCGATGCTTGCTAAGATCGATGTTTTGTTATCGATGTCGCATCACTGTCATGGGACATTGCCATGTACACGACGGTGTGAAACTCGTGAAGCTCCGCATGTTTTTAAAAAGGAAGCCGCAGTACTGTCCTAACGTTCTGACCTCGAAACTTAACACAACTCCACCATTGCCATCTTCAACTGGACTGTCTGGCCCCACCGCGTCAGACACGAAAAGTTTTCCAAACGCTTTGGAAAGACAATTGAAATGTTTTCTACATGTGGAATATCTCGAGTTTTATTCCTTACCCACATTTAAAGGATAAGTCGATTTGAATATTTTCCGTGCATTACATTTTAAAAGTAGTATCTTGCTCTATCTCGGAAGTTAGAGCGATAGGTTCAACTAAAGTATACGATGCAATCGTATTCTCTAACTGAATTCGTAAATGGTTTAACCGGGCAGTTCGCTCTCCTAAGGCGCAGAAGCCCACTTCAGAGGGGACGAGGGGAAGTTAAAGGGTTGTGAGAAGAATTTTTCGGTGGTCAGGGGTTGAGTGGTATCAACCGTGTTCTGAGTGTATTCACTGTACAACGCAGGCATGTCAAGGACATGGGCAAGGTAACGAGCTAGAATTCGCGGACTCTGCATCCAGAACAAATCCGAGAGTTTTAAACGTAAGGATCGCACAAATTGCTCTAGTTAGTTCACGTACTGGTTAATTTACGACAGTCGATACAACATACTATTGTAGAAGTCAATTGACAATAGTCATTGCCCCAAATTTTTCTGTATTAATTCCTCGTTAGCAAAGACCATTTATGTGAAATAACTCACGGATATTTGAACTTCTGTTGGAGTAAAATCAAACATTTGGATCGAAAAGATCTTCATTTCGTAACGGCTTTTGCTTAAAAGTGCAGTAACTGATTTAACTTTGTACGTTAGGAACAAAGGTTTTTGTTCGTGAAAAGAGATGCCCGTGCGTTACAGTGATGCATTATATTAATTTTTAGTTATTGGTTTATTTAACGTCAAAAACAATTAAAAACTGTATGATGTTCTATGGAGAAAGTGTATTCTGGGCAAGTTTTCTTCAATTATGGAATCCCTATCCAACCCATACACAAGTTGAATTCTGAATATAGAAGGAAACGAGCATTTTTTGTAAGAATGGATTAGAAAAATTCTCCTCAGTGTAAAAAAAACAACAAAGAACTATTTGCGTTGGCAAAACAGCTAAAGATTTTGGCAAATATCCCTCATCGTGGCCTTCGTGAAGGAATATGCTTCCTGTGTGAGAACATGGAGAATGATAATTTGAATAACTATATTTCCTACAAAGTTCTAGACGACGTGCCAGAATATGAAGTTACATGTATGTCCAGAAGCAAAATAAGGCACATCTCAGCATTCGCTCGAAAGATCAGGGAAACTGGACGAAAAACCTAACCATGATGGGGGTTGTTGACCCTCTGTACAATACTTGTTACAGAGTTTTTGGAAATATACAGTCACAGTGGTAATTTATACATTCAATATCATTGTTAAAATTAATATTACTATCCTTTTTGATGCTCGGTATCATCTCTAATTCTATTGAAACAGTTTCCTAGCAGAAAAGATTTTACTCGGCACTTGAACTTGTGTATCGAATTTAATCGTTTAATGTCATTCGGCAATATGTTTAAAATAAATGTTTTGTATGTGAATTTTTTGTAGCGATCTGTTGATACTGATAGCTGTTGAATATGATTACTGCGTCGAATGTTATAGTTCTAGACATCGATATTTGCTGAAAATTTGTGTGCACTCTTTATTAAGTCATTTTTGACAAATTAATTTTTTTATCTAGTAGGTTTTACTCCGGAAGATAGACTTCATGAAGCTTTGTTGCAACATTTAACTTCACATTATCAATATATGATTATTCAAGGAAGAATTTTAAAATAAAATATAAATGAAATATGCAATATACTATAATGATTCAAATCTCAATTGTCAGCAAGGCTTCTTGCTGATGTTTTGGGCACCTTTGGGCTTGCCAGGATTGCTCGCTTCTGCTAGAGCGTGTGCAGCCCATTCTGAACTTGGG